TTGGTGCCATCCCTGGGTTGAAGATGGATGAGCCCCAGGAGCTAGCAAGGACACAGGGACCTCAGTCCCACCAGATCTGCCACCAGGAAGAAAGCGACGGTCCCCCAGAGCCTGCAGGTGAGAGCCCAGCTCAGCCGACACCTTGACTGTGGCCCATGACACACCAGACGGAGAGCCAGCCAGGCCACGCTGACTTCTGACCCACAGAGCTGAGATCGTAAGTGTGGGTGCTGCTTGAGCTGCTGGTTTGTGGACACGTGCAACATAGTAAACTGGTGCAGATGCCCTGTGAGGAGGAACCGCCCAGGCCGCTGACCCACCGCCTGTGGGCCAGTCTTCTTTCCGTGGTCCACGGGCCCCGAGCTCCTTCACATGGCCCCTGCACACTTTTCGAGAACTGTTGAACTCTAGAACTGTTAAACTTGACCTTGAAACCTCCATTACCCCAGCACCGACCCCAGTGTGGAGTTAAAACTCCTACATCGTGGCACCAGGCACCCCCGGGAAGCTACACAGGTGGTGGAATATCCGTGTCCCCCTGCCCGGCATCTGTGGTGTCCACCCTTCAGACCTGACTGGACATGGGGACCGTTCCAAACCACACTTAAAACAGCATTGAGTGAGATCATACCTCCCTGGAGAGTCACCTGTCCCCTGAATATAATACTGATTATTCAGGAAGCGTCCAGATGCCACAACTGCAGTAAAAATGGGCCTTTTCTCTTGACCACAGCCTTCATAACTCCAGGGGCTTTAAGCCTGTCTCTCGATTCTTTTCCTTTTCTCGCTTTTCCTGACAAATCCAGGGCATTCTCAGACAAGCCCGTCATCTGGACAAATGACCAGTGAGGCGCACTGAGCATAGAGTTGGTACAAAGGACAGTTTTCCTTTCCTTTTGTTTTCATCAGCCAGTCCCTGGAGGTCAGTACTAATGGCGAGCACAGTGAGCAAGGATGACGGACACCTGAAAACGCACCAGGATGGAGGGCGGGGGCGGCATGTGGAAGGAGCCTGTGGGCCCTGCTGTGAGGGGAGATGGGGTGCGAGGTGGGGGGCTGTGCACACAGCATGCCCCCATGAGGCTGCAAGGGGACAGAGCTGCTGCCCCTGCTGACTCTGCCCACGGGAAACGGGGTGGGCGGGGGCCTCCCATCCTGAGGAGCCTGAGGATGAAGTCTACGGGAGGCAGCAGACGTGCCCCCAGCAAACCCCCAGGCCCCCTGAGCCCCTGTGAAACACTCTTGGACTAAACTAGGAATCCCCACGTCACAGGCAGAGACACCGAAGGCGATTTCAAAAGTCAGAGGGCTACAAACACGCTGATGCAGCTAACGGTGAGTATGTTATTTTCATTAACAACGGTGTTAATATTTTTGGTGATGCAAGTAAATAGTTAATTCTGACTTTTACAATTCCAATCTAAAACGAATGCCTAAATGCCTATGGAAAAGGCAGAAGTTCTAATAAAATGCCAGTTCACCATAAAGGAGCTAACTATGAATGACGGTGCTGGAGACACCAGGATCAGCCGGTTTTATTTCAAGTGAGGACAACAGGGTAAAACTAGTAATTATCAACCTAGTGAGATTTTATTTCTTTGAAAGTAAAAACAGCTCTGGTTAAAAGAAAATTAAAAAGGAGAAACATCTAGATTAGGATGTAAATGGTAATTATAGCTCAGCTGAAACTACTTTAGGGTAAGCTATTCCAGTGTCACCTGTTAACATCCTGTTTGAAAATAAATAAAACAAGACAAAAAAAGTAGATGAAATCGACTACATCAAAATGAAAAACTTTTGTGCATTAAAGGACACTCTCAACAGAGTGAAAAGGCAGCCCACAGAATGGGAGAAAAATTCCCAAATCATATATCTGATAAGGGGTCAATGTCTAGTATACATTACAAACTCCTATAACTCAACAATAAAACAACAAGATTACAAAATGGGCAAGGACTTGAATAGACATTTCTTAAAGAAGATGTACAAATGCCCAATAAACACATGGAAAGATGCTCAACATCACTGCTCATCAGGGAACGCAAATCGAAACCCCAGTGAGATGCCACCTGACACCCAGTAGGATGGCTGCTTTACAAAAAATAAAATGAAATAAAGTTGGCACAGAGGTAGACAAAGTGGAATCCGTGGGTGCTGCTGGTGGGAATGTAAACCGGTGCAGCTGCTATGGAAAGCTGTCTGGTTCCTCCTCAAAAACTAAACACAAAATTACCATATGATACAGCAATTCCACTTCTGGGGAAAGAAAGGAAAGCAGGATCTCCACGAGACATTTGTACACCCATGTTCACAGCAGCATTATTGACAACAGCCGAAAGGTGGAAAGAACTCAAGTATCTATAGATGGATGAAAGATAAACAAAATGTGGTTTATACATACGATGGAATAGTATTCAGCCATAAAAAGGAAGGGAATTCTGACATAGGCTACCACATGGAAGAACCTGGAGGACAGGATGCTGAAGTGAACTAAGTCAGACACAGAAAGGCAAATACTGCATGATCCCAGTTCTCTGAGGTCCCCAGAGGAGTCAGGTGCACAGAGACAGAAAGGAGGATGGTGGGCGCTGGGGGCTGGGGAGTTAGTGTTTAATGGGGACAGAGTTTCAGTTGGGAAAGATGAAAATATTCTGGAGATGTTGGTGGTGATGGCTGCACAACAATGTGAATGTACCTAATGGCTCCGAATTGTACATTTAAAATGAATAAAATGGTCAATTTCACATTATGTATCTTTAACACAATGAAAGCATGCCAAAAATAAATAAAGTGATGAATAAAAGACATCCTTTATGTTAAAGGGGCTTATGCAGTAAGAGTTGGAAAGAAGTGAGAAAGCCAACAATTATGATGCAATCTGAAGTCTCCTGGGAATGAAGGCTGCAGAATATGTCACCCCAAACATGACTGCAGGAGTTTAGGACATACTACCCCAAATACGATGGCAGGAGTTCAGGACACGCTACCCCAAACATGATTGCAGAAGTTGGAGACACGCTGCCCCAAAACATGACTGTAGAGTTCAGGACACAGCACCCCAAAACCTGCCGCCTCAGTACGTTGACTATTTTGAGTTGTAGACACTTGAAAAACAGCAAATGCGGGGAAAGGCTTCCTCTGAACCCCTCTCATCTGCCTAATGACAGGTCCTCCAAAAGGAACTCCAGTGTCACCAACTCCCTCCCTGGGAATGTCACCAACCTGTAAGATGGACTCTTGTCACAGGAGAGGTGACCAGAAGTGGACACCACACCCAGACTCTGTCACAAACTGTCCCCCCCATCTGTCCTCCTGAGTCATCTTCCCTAAAAATGAGAGGCCATGTCCCCCTCCTTCCCTATTAAGTTGGTTTTTAAGCCCAAATTCTAAGCCTCCTCAAGGAGTTCCTCGTTTTCCCTGGGCACCTCTCGTGTGTACATGAGACACACATGTCCACAGACTTGTGTCTGTTCTTCTCTTGCTCATCTCTTTTCCTACAGGATTCTCAGCCAAGAACTCAGAAGGGTACGGGGCACTTATTTTCCTCCTCCGCACAAGCAATAGGGTTGTGTAGTAACACCCACACCTGTTTCCACTGTTCGGGTCAGTCACAGCTCTATTTCCCCTGAGAATAAGCAACAAGGAGATGATGCCTAAGCTGGTTAACAGGAAAATAAAAATTCTCACAGTTTCTCCACCTTCTTCCTCTTTTTAAAAATTGGGTCAACAGCATCAATCTTAACCAATATAATTGTTAACGTGCCTTACATGGGAATCAACCATGTTGAAGCTAACACCTGGTCTGGAACAAGAATCAGGTGATACGGCACCAACTTCCTGGCAGGTGGGGCTGCTGCCTCCTGGCTCACGTCTCTGAGTCTGGGGGGTTCTTGGGCTCCTTACCCTACAACAAGGGTGAGGAGACCCAGGCGACGCCCGCAGGAGCTGATGGTGCAGACCCGGGAGCTGGGAGGTTCAGGAAAGGACGTGGATACTCCAGAGAGAAAGCCCCTCTCGGATTCCCTCGCCGTCTGCTTGTCACTGGTGGTTACTTCCTGCACCCCCCACCCCGTCAGTCACAACAGCTCATAACAAAGAAATCAAGGGTTATCTGGCTGTGACACGGTACTTGTGGGTGCAAACCCAAACTAACCTTTTTATGTCATTTTACATCAGAAAAGAATGATGTCTTCCACCTGAAATCCTCCTTCAAGCTTCCTCCTTCCACACTCGTTTCCAGTCACCTGTGACTTTGTCATCACCACCGCCTTTCAATAACCTGCCTCTGTATGGTCTCTCCTTTATCGGCCCACACTCCGACCACAAAACCCAACATTTTAAACCATTGTCAGAGCTCGGTAAGGTTGAACAAAGGTTAGCAAAGTTACTTCAATGATTCTGTAATGAAAGAGATGTGGTAAAATACATAACTTCCTAAAAGTCACAAAAGTTAACCAAACAAAGACAATTTGTCCCAAAGAAGCCCTGGTGTTCAGAGACACAAGGTCACTGAATCCCATCAAAGTCTTTACCCAAAGACTCGCTGAACGTGGCCACAGACTGCAGGACAGACCCCGCAGACCGCGTGCGGCAATTTCTGCGTTTCGGCACATGCCAGGAACGGAGGTCGGCCATGCGTGCCCTTCAGAAACCTCGGATCAAAGAAGGAGTGAAGACAATGGCCCCTGTGTGGGTGTGAAACGACACGGAGACAGTGCAGCCCCCACGCTGTTGCACACAGCATGTTACACACGGCGCCATCCACACCCTCAATGGAAACAAAAGGACTTTTTCTTCAATTTTTCCAGTATGCTATAAAACGATTTCACATTTAGATACTTACTAAATTATGCATGTTCATGCATCTGAAAATGCACAAAAACCTTGGCAAAGCAATTCTGCAGGTTCTGTTTCTCTGGTGGATTTGAGAGCTTTGTGACTGCGGGAGGAGTCACCCTAAGTCGGCCCCAAGTTGTGTCACGTAAAGGGGACGTACTTACCGAGACGCCTTCCTCTCTCCGGTACTGCTTCCAGTTCCTGCCGCTGTCGCTGAACATCAGGAGGTAGCTGGTCACCCAGTCGGAGCTCCCGTACCCGCCCTGGGTGGCCACTGCGGTGACCTCCACCCTCTCTCCAAGGTCGATCTGCAGCCACTGGTTCTTGTCTGACACGAGCGGCGTCCAGCCCCCGGCTCCTTGTTGTGGAAGAGGACACAGGAAGAGGAGTAAACGTTAGAATTTGTCTGGAAGGAGGAGAGACCTGGGTGAGAATGTGTGCATTTCCAAACCTATAATAAATGCCCCATGATTGTATTCATCGAGTAATGAATGACTGACCTGAATCATCTGTGCACCCCTGAGTCATGTGACCTCCTCACACTGGAGGTCAGGTGTCCACTGAGGGTCCAGCTGCTGCACGTGATGGGTGCACACTCCAGCAGAGAACCCCAGAGAACAACAGTGTTTCCTTGGCCATTGTGCTGGCTGCTTATCATCGAGCCTTCAACACCTTATAGGATGTCTGGAGGTGCAGCTAACTTACAGTGGAGTCTACATCTATCAGGGACGCCCCACCTCTGATGTCCATGTTCAGCCCCGGGCATGCAAGGATGCTAGGACCCTGCTCTGTGGCAAGGAGTTCCCAGACTTGGGAGAAACGAAAATCAAGGCATCTGTAGCAGGCTCAGGAACTCACTGGGGGGTGGTCCTGCAGGTGAGTCCCATGGGGGGGTGATGGCAGAAGGAATCATGGGAAATGCCTTGCAGGGCAGTGAGGGGGGTGTCTCACAGAACAGACTGCACCTCAGGCTCCTGCAGACGGAGAACAGATAGATGACAAAGCGACTGAGGACAAGAGGAGGAAGAACGGCAAGAGAGCGTGGAGCCCAGTACTCCTTGAGACCCCAGCCCTGAGCAGAGACTCTAGGGGACAGAGCGGGAACCTGTGGGGATGACACAGAGGCCAGGGGAGGGGCAGGGGAGAGACTGGGAAGTGGAGCTCACCTCAGGCTCACACCATTAGGGCCAGACCCAGGCTCAAAGGAGCAGGTGTGACTCAAAGCCAGTCTTCTGAGCACAGCGCTTCTTGGAGATAAAAGTGACAACGGGAATGGAGAGGGAAGTGTAAAGCCAGCAAGACAGCAGAGAACCACAGCACCTGAGGGTTTACAACCCCCTTCCAACGCAAAAGTAAGAAAGAAAGAGAGACAGAGAGAGAAAGGAAGGAAGAAAGGAGGGAATGAAGGAAGGAAGAAAGAAAGGGAGAGAGAGAGGAAGGAAGGAAGAAAGGGAGAAAGCAGGAAGGAAAGAAAGAGAAAGAAGGACAGAACAGCAACCACTACGCAGCCTGCACGTTGCTGGCTGACAGGACTGGGCGCCATTAAGCTCAGAATCCACACAGTGTCCAATACACCAAACTGAGTGAGAGGATGGTAAAACCCTTACAGAATTATTGCAGAAAATCAGGAAACAAATATTCACAAATATTAATTGAGGAAAATCCCTACGTCCTAAAAACAATCATGGAGTGAAAGGAACTCCACGAAAAATAAGCTGTCCTCGAACAAGCCTTTGAGGGTCGGAAATACCACCTTGAATCAGAAGTTCAAAACTAAGAACAGAAATGGACCAAAAAATCAAGTAATAAGAGAAATGGATTGAGTTCAGGAAAGAAATGGAAGGAAAAGACAAAACTGTCTTTAAAATAAGGAATAAATACCTTCAAACCTATTAGGATGGCCAAAATCTGGAACACTGACACCACCAAACGCTGGGGCAACAGGGGCGCTCGTCCATCGCTGGTGGGAATGCTGGATGCTACAGCCACTTTGGAAGACAGTTTGGCTGTTTTTACAAAACGAAACATACTCTTACCATAGGATTGAGCGATCGTGCTCCCTGGTATTTGCTCAAAGGAATTGAAAACTGATGTCCACACAAAAAGCTGCACACGGATGTTTATAGCAGCTTTGTTCATAATTACCAAAATTTGGAAGCAACCACGATGTCCTTCACCAGGTGAATGGATAAATAAACTGTGGTCCATCCAGACAATGGAATATTATTCAGTGCTAAAAATAAACGAGCTGTCAAGCCATGAAAAAATATAGAGAAGACTTAAATGCATATGGCTAAGTGATAGAAAGCAATCTGAAAAGGCTACAGACTGTGTGATTCCAACTATGTGACATTCTCGAGAAGGGAAAATGGTGGAGACAGTAAAAAGATCAGTGTCGGCCAAGGCTGAGGAGGGCGGGATCAATACATGGAGCACTGAGGGTTTTTAGGACAGTGACTCTTGTGTGTGATACTGTCACGGTGGATGTGTGAGATCATGCACTTGCCAAAACCCAAGAGTGAACCCTAATGTAAACTATGGACTCTAGTTAATAATAATACCTCAATATTGGTCATGAATTATAGCAGATGTATCACACTGATGCACGATGTTAATAATAGGGGAAACTCTGCATGTGTGTGTACATGGTGGGGGGAGTTGGAGGGGGTAAATGGGAACTCTGTACTTTCTGCCCAATTTCACAGCAAACTGAACTGATCTAAAAGTAGTCTATTAATTTAAAAAAAGAATAAATTGCATAGTGACCAGTAAGTCAATGTATTATAGGCAGTGAAAGCCAGCTTTCTCATCCTTAGAGGAAGGACTCACTCTTCTAAATAAGGAATGAGGAAAGGAGAAATGAACCCTGGTGTGGGGTTGGAATCAGAAGGCTCAGCATACATCTTGGTTTTAATGCAAATATGGGTAGACACAGAAATACAGTTACGTATGTGTCCTCATGGCTTACTTTTATGCTTATATTTCCCACATCTGTCTGCTGGGAGGCCTTGAAGCCATGGCACTCAGTAACAATGAGCACACCCAATACTGTCGCCAACAGAACGATCCTGGGGTCCCTGGAGAAGTGGTTGATTCCACTGAAAATGCAAGATGGGCTTAGAATGTCTTGAGGGCCAAAAAGTAAGGAAGGGCTCAAGTAGAGGGGAGCCTTCTCAGAAGAACACAGGAGCCAATCTGAAGGTTGGCCAACCCTGGGACAGTCGAAGCAGAAAGATTAAAAAGCAGATTTCATGCCACAGAATAGCATGAATATCCATGAATCCATGCTGATATAAACAAATGAATAATCAGATAAATGCACACTTTGGGGGAAGGGGCAGCTCCTCCTGACAGGAGAATGCCCACTGGTGCATCAGTAAAGAGAGAATCGCCTTAGGCACATACCACAGTCATGAGAACTGAAGGTGAGGCCCAGGGATGGATGCTCAGGCTGGTGGGTGAAACTTTGAGGAGAAACCACATTTTCATGTCTCAAAGTGTCTCCCCCAAGTGGCTTGTCACTAACAAGAGATCCAGGTTGACATCAGCATTGGCACACAAATCCACATCATGGCCCCTGATAGGACACATGGAAAGGACATGACGGCATTTCTAAGGTGCTCTTGCCAAAAATTTATAACCTCATTCCAGTCAAGAGAAAATACTGTACACATTCAAACAGAGGAAGTTTCTACAAAATACCTGACCAGGGCTTGCAAAAAAGTATGACAGTCACAAAAGATGGGAGACTGAGGAATTGCCAGGGACTGAAGGTGCCTACAGAGGAATAACTAGTAAATGCACCTTGGGGTCCAGGGTAGCCTCTTGGAACAGAGAAAGGATGGTGAAGGAACTGTTGCAAATGCACCAGGCTCAGCTGTTGGGTCTGCACTATTGTACCGGTGTCCCTTCCTGACCTTGACCGTCGAGTAAGATGTTAGCAGTGGGGTGAAGGATACTGGAGGAGCCTCTGCCTACTTTTTTCAAAACCATTCTGTAGTCTATACTTAGTTCAAAACAAGACGTCTAAAAGTGCAGGACGATAAGGGAGAGAGATGCTAAGAACTCTAGGCTGGCAGGACGGATTGACCCACCACCGTTACACAAGGCAACCATGAGCAGATACGAAAGTCAACCAGGCATAGCGAAAATAGGGAAACTGAGGCTTCCCAGGAGACAGGCCCATGCTAATGCCCTCACTCCCCATGATAACATGGCCAAGTCTGCATTGCTGTTGTGTTTAAAAATGGGGAAATAGTGGTCTTCTCACAGATAACTGCTAGTAAAACACTCTGTTTTTTACTAAATGTAAAAATGATGCTGTAAGATCTACACAAATAAGATATTATAATTCATCTTTGACACTTAAAAAATTAGCATCATGGGGCCCAGTGGGGCCTGCCCTGGGAAGCCTGGACAGCTCTCAGAAGTCACATCCATCTACCCTCCCTGCTTGGCTGCCCTCAAACCCCAGAGGCCCCCATGATCCCGCTCAGACACCACCTGGCCTGAGCTCCCGGCACGTGTGGTTCACCCCCTGGATTGTGTGAAGTCCCATGTAGTGATGAAATCCTTGTCCTCGACCATAGGAGCCTTAAGAACAGATAGTACAATGTAGGGGAGGAAAATAATTTCCCTCCACCTTTCTGAGACACTTGTAATAAAAGGATTAACATGAGAAAAGCAAACAGAAGTTACTGACGTGTAGCTGGAGTACACATGGCAGAGACCCGGGGGAAATGAGGAACTCCCCAGGTGGCCTAAACCACCAGCTCAAATGCTGCCTTCTCTAAAGATAAAAGAGAACACGCTGTGGGGGCAGTTCTGGGGGGACCGGAGGGAGCAGGCCACAGGTGGGTTGTGGAGCAGGTTCAGGCCCCTGCCGTCTCCACTGAGGAGGGTCTGGTGGATTCACCATCCTCCTCTTCCTAGTGCAGACAGGGAGACACCTCTGCAAATGCCGATTTCCTTTATGGATGCAAAGTTATCTTACAAAAGGGCAATTTCTACTCTGTTTTCAGAGCTTCTCCTGCATCTGCTGATTCTTAAAATAATCAGATCAAAGTCATCCTCATGCCAAAGAGGCACATTTTGGGGATGTGTTCTGTGACTCCGCAACAATGGCGAAGGTTGGGTAGGACAGCGTGTTGACTCTGTAGCAGTTTCGCTCACACACAGAAGATGCTTGGGGCATAGCAGTTGCTGTCTTTGCAGACGATAAAGGAGTTATAGTGACTCTGAGCAAGGCAGTGAGTACACAGGGTGTGTGTCCACTTTTGCACTTTTTACAAATCCCTAAATCTTCACAGACACAGTAGCTCTTTTATCTGTTACTGGCCATTTTCAGTCTACAAGAGT